AACTTCTTCCTAACGTCCAATCTGAACCGATCCATCTCTAGCTTCAATCCATTCCCTCTAGTCCTATCACTACCCGACATCCTACAAAGCCCCTCACCAGCTTTCTTGTAGCCCCCTTGAGATACTGGAACGCCACAATAAGGTCTCCTCGGAGCCTTCTTTTCTGCAGACTGAACAGCCCCAACTCTCTCAGTCTGTCCATAGGAGAGGTGCTCCAGCCCTCTCATCATCCTCGTGGCCCTTCTCTGGACACGCTCCAGCACTTCTCTTGTGTGGAGGGAAATTGCTATTATTGAATGCCCGGATAAAACTGGACAAACCAAGCTTTTGAACACACAAGTCCCTCTCATATTTAACACATCACTAAAGCTTAGGTGGCATTTGCTACCAAGATAACACTTTGTGTATGTTTGCAGTACCTCTTCCCACCCCCTGGGTCTGTCCCTCCTCTCTGCCTGTGTTGTCCGTGCAAGGCCCGTCGCTGTGGAGCCCGGCTCCCGGCCAGAGCTGCGGGTACAGCCATCAGTGAACATTATTAACAGGGAACAAGTGGTGCAGGTGTTCATGGGTGAAAAACTATTGCAGTCCAACTGACCTGGTGACTGGAACAAGCACAAATGGATTCTAGCGATTTTTTAGCTGCAGGGGGAAAAAAAACAAACGACAAAGTTGCTTTCTTTTCATCGACTGCTTCTCACAAATGCTTCCATCAGGGACTTAAACCCACACTTTTAGCCTTTTTGTAAGCAGTTGCTGTTATCCAAGTTACAAACATAAAAGCACAGAAAAAACTGAACAAGCAGACAGGACAGAAAAGTTGAATGAGCACTGGCTCTTCTTATTTTAATGAAGAAATATTTCAAGTTAATATCAGTGCATATTTAGAAATAGCATGTGATACTCCCAACGCCAAATACATCAGCAAATTACAGTTTCAAAACTTTATAAATTAATGGCAAGAAAAAAATAATTAAGATTAACATAGAGAATAAATTTCAAAATAAACATCCTGTTTGTTTGTTGCACTGCATCAATTATATTCCTGGTACTTAAACAGCACGAGAGATCCAGTATTTCGTGATAATTAGGCTCTCCAAAACAGCAGTTATTTTTCTACAAATGAATTAAGCAGTTTGCATTTATTTCTGATGTATAATTAAATATTATTCTTAGCTGTTACGAAGAAATTTCGTCATGTCAGAATAAAATTTCATTCCATGATTGAGAAATTACACTAACATAAGAAAACTGCCTTCTGCTTATACCCACTGGAAACAGTCAGCTGAGAATAGGAAGAACTACATGTGAGCACGTTTGGCTGTTACATAAAATGGCTTTTTTTTTTTTTTTCCAGGTTTCACAGCCTCATAACAATACTGTTTTTCAACATTGTTCCCAGTCATTGTTTTTAAAATGGTTCATCAACATATCCTGAATCAATCACTGATATAAATAACTCCAGTGACAAAATCCATTATGGAAGGACACAGAACTGCAAACTGAAAGTTGTACCGAATGATTTTAAGGTGGAACTGTAATCACTCTATAAAATTCTGTAAAAAAACACCACACAGTAAAAGCTTTAATTAACTGGCAACGGTGGAATCTGAAAAACTCAGTTGTAACTTTAAAAGACATTTAACTCACAATGGACTCTAATGCAAGACAAATTGTACTGAAGCTAGAGAGATGCACATTTAAAGCTTACAAGTGTGATATAAAAATATTCTCTAGTTCTTTCCTTTTGATACAGGGAGTCTAGTTCCCTAAGGGAAGAAGATAAAAGACACCCTCTTTCCTACCCATTGCTGTACATGTAGATTATTCCCTTGATAGCAGGAAATGGCATTTCCCCAGCAAAAACACCAGCTATAGGAATTGCAGACTGTCTGGTAGTAGGGCTTTGCTGATTTTGCTTTTTAAAGCACATTTTCAAGGAGATGGAATACTGATAGGATATGCATTTCTTTCACTATTAGCCTATTGTGCAAATTGGATACACCAACCCCATAACTTCGATCCGACCGCTGCCGGCATCGCTTAGAGTAGTTTTTGAGATTCTAGTGTGATGTATTACAGCAAGGAGACGACTGCCAGGTTATGAAACATCGGGCTAAATCAGATTAGAAGGAAAAGGCACATGCTTCGGATTTAACAGGAACACCTGAAGGTTCCTCGTTACCATACTCTTACGCTCCTGAAGTTACAGCGATTCCATGCGTTACCCAAATGACAGAGTTTGCTTCTAAAAAATCGTGAGGTAAGGGGAAACTTCCGCTTATGGCACGTACACGTGAAAGGTCTGTGAGCTCAGCTGAAAAGTCTCGAGGTGCTAGGAACAATGCAGACACAAGGTAGGCTACGGTCTGGTTAGGCCAGAAACAAAAACTTAACATTTCATTAATCCTGCATACATTCCTCCTATGCACGAATACAGGGTGCGCAAAATAAGCTGTTTACTCGGTAAAATTTTATGTTTTGTGTACGTAAAGTAATCAGCTAATACTGCAATACAATCAAAAATCATGCACTAGATAAACAGAGCTTCTTCCCCATGAACGGCAGTTCTCTGGAACATCTTATTCTCCTTCGGGTAACATCTCATGGTTTGCCAGCTTACACAGTCCCTTTTAAAGAACACAGTATTTAGCTAAAACTAAAAAGCAAAATTGAAATAAAAAAAAAAGGAAACAAGTTTTGATCTTAGTTGCAATACAGCTGGGATAGATGCAACTGAGCTGTTGCGATGCACCAAAAAGTAACGAAAATTCAACATGAAATAAATATATACCCTAAATTAATCTCTGTAAATACATTCACAGGTCCACTTAAGACACCCTTATGCATAACTCACACTTCATCAAATCTGCAGATAGAGATGGGTGTTAGTTCATGGGGAAAGCAATTTATCATATGACTCGGTTTATCTGTCATTATTCCAGCAAAAATCAGTAGCAAATTTGTAAATCTACATTTATTTTCCCCAGACCAACCACACAGAGGCTTAAGTCACCAATTCTATTATTTCCAAGGTTCGATCAATAAGGCTTTATTTACACTGTTTTTTACTATAAAGTCAGGAAAAAGGTTGGTGCAATGTGCAAGAAAAGACTGCACATTTCACTGACTGGAGACCAACATCTGCTTATGGTTTAATGCTAACCCACAGGCAGCCAATTAAAGTCCCATAGATCCATGTTTTTACGTAAAGTTTCCTTCCAGATTCTGTCAGAAGCATACTAGCAGTCAGGCCACCTAAAAACAGCAAAGATGGCAAAGTTTTCTTGAGGCTCAGTTTGGAATGAACACTTTTCCCAGGGAACTTATTTCTTCTTTTGGAATCCTTTGCATCGTAAAACTCTATTAGTAACCTACGAGCAGACAAAAGGAGATGGTCAAAGTTATGCATTAGCGTTAAGAAGTTTTAAGTAACTTACTTTCATCCAGTAGCTGCTTCTAATCACATGTTATTTAAGAAATGATCTCACAACGCGTAGCAGCTCATCTGTAGCAGGTTTAAGCAATCAGTAAGCCTTAAGAATAGGATACCTTCAAAGCAACGTTCCATGTTGGAGTACTCAACCTGAACCTCTGTAAGCAATAAAAGCAGATTTTCCTTGGGGATCAATTTTAACACCGAATATAAAAATTGAAAAGAACCCTGTTCATTCAGCATTTAGCAGATAAGGCCAGAGTACTGCGCAATGCTATAGGATAAAATACCACACAGTTAAACATCGAACACTAAAGGAGGGGGAAAAAGTATCTTAATAAAGCAAATAAATAATGAGGGCTCACAGACACTAAGTATTTGGGAAGCCAAAACTTCAAAGGTAAAATGCTACACTACTGGTTTAGTAGTAAACTTTTTTCTGCCTATTTTTGAAAACAAGTAATAAATGGATTTAAAAATCCTGGGGTTGTCTTCTAAGTATCTCTAAATTTGCCTGACAGACTGCTTTGGTCCCAGGAAAGATATTCAGTCAACAGGAGTCTAAGAAGAGACACAGATGATCAGGGTTCGGTTTTGCTGGTCTTCAGCAGAAGACTACTTAAGGGACACCTGACTGCCTTCTATTTTAGGTATCAGTTCTTTGTCTATAAAATTGAATTCAAGAGGTTTTCCTCTCAGAAGTGAAGAAAAATTACTTAGTGTTCCTAAACTTCTAAGACTTCACATGGATTTCAAAGATCACAGGACAAATTAAGCCATCTTTTTACCTCTACGGAGGTAAAAGACCAGCACAACAATTTTAAAGGAGAACATACTTAAGAACCAGGGAAATTTCTGACTCACACAATGTATTCCAGGATTTAGAAAACAATCAGATCCAGATCCCTGAAATAGGACTTCAGATGCGGCAAATTAAACCATCATCTGTCAAACAATTCTTAAATCCCACATTTAGGAGCAAGGTCCTTCCGGAGGATGAGGCCCCCCCAGAATCTGTTGCAGGTGCTCACCAGTGACCTTATCTGGAGATGCTGGAGGGAGCCAGCTCCTTTAGTTCTGCCATGATTCAAAGATGGACAGACAAAACTTCTGCCTCACCTTATTTCCCCAGTGAAGGTAGGGATCTCGGGGTTACTTGTATTTTTACTTATTCGCTGTCTGATGGAAGATGCATAAAACAATTTTGGCAGAAGGGGTTAGGTCAAGACCAGCCCCTTTCTAACTCTAACCTAGCACCAACTAGAGGCTAGACTTGGTTGACTACTGTGGACATCCTGGCTGCACATGATGCAGCTACAAGAAGATAAACAGAGAGTATTCAGATGAGTATGAGTCTCGCCTGGAACACAGACTCGCAGCTCTTCAGTCTAAGGAAGGTCTGAGGAACTCCATCTCCTGAGCAAAAGGTTTAATCTCAAGGTAATTACACAAAATAAGCACAGGAGTACCAACCCACCTCTCTTCAGGGAGCCCTACAGTTTGCACTGCTGGTAAAAGAGAAATTGTGGATATATCTGTCAACAGAAAAGAAGTAAGAAAGCTTCTCAAAACAGAAAGTTCTCCATATTGTTACTCACTTATCCTTTATTTCAAAACGTTCATGAAGCCACCTTCTCATATACATCTGCTCTTCTGGAATGTCCTTCAGTTCAATTCGATCAATGAAAATATGAACTCTTGGGCATTCCTTGCAAAGAAACTCTAAAAAGAGAAAACAACAAGACTGAGTTACAAAAACACCGTAGAGCATTTATTTCTCTAAAATACATCCAAAATCTGACCTTGCATCTGTAAGTGTCTCGGAAGTCTAACTTCAGTTCTCACAAGCCTCCCCTCAAAGTTTGGATCCTGAGCACTTCACTGAATTTAGAAGCCATCTGGCCTACAAACTTTTGAAATGGTGGCCCATTATCATGTGTAGCATGGAAACATTGTCCTAAAATGCCCCCTGCTAACTGTAAAATGCTGTGCTCGAAAATGTTACACTTCTATCGCAGCAGCAATCTACTCATTCTGTATTGTGGGATGCAATAACTTCCAAGTTATCCAGCCTCAAACTTTGATTAAAGTTAGTTTGTTGTTTTTGAAATCTAAATTTTGTTTACTCCTGGATGGAAAGATCAAAATTACAATGCTTTCCCAAAGTATCTCCAGGAGGAAGTGGGATTCAGTTTAAGTAATAACCTATAATTAAGAAGTGTAATAGGGCAAAAGACTCGGAGCAAAATGCCGCTTTCCGATTTGCATCCCTTCATTTTTCTTCTGTCTTACAAAGCTTGAGACAGCCCTCCTGCAGTACCCCTCCTCCATTTCCTCAACTTGTCCCTAGAAAATTTGAGCAAGCAAGTGTTAATTACAAACATTACTGAAATAGCCTGGTGGGATTTCTCACAACTAACAAGCAGGTATAAAAAGTACACATGGGATGAAAAACCCACCAGTATTTGCGTATTAGCAATCTTTTGCATTTATCTAGCAAGGGGTATTTCAGCAAAAATAGCATCCCCGTACAAAGAGATGTGTGATGTGAGGATGGAATTCCCTAGAAATCTGAAAACTCTCCACATTTTGAAAAAGTGTGTTCTTACAATACACAAGGGCCACAAACATAGCCAGACTGGGTGGTCCATTTAGGTTGTTGACATTTTTTGGCCAGCAGGGCAGACGTACAGAAGACTTTGACCTGTAACTGTGAGGGGTATCTTGAGCAATGACTGTGCAAAATAATTGTCACTGTATGTACATCTTTACTACTGTCTGCCAAAGCAGATAACCCCTTATTTGTTTTTCTTCTTTACAGGATTATTGATTTTAAAGGACTTTGCTGTAAAAGCAATCCTTATCGTCTACTAGAAATTGCCTTAAAGAATTTTAAAAGCTTTTTCATGCAAATATATTTGCGTGCTTGTAGACATAGAGGGAAGGAGAAGAGATAAAGAGATCAGTCAATTCTTAGGGCATTTTGATGCAGAAATGTGCAAGGTGCTGTGTGTGCTTTTGCCTAGCCCTCAGGCAGAGACCCCTTCGCTGAACCAACAAAAAAGGAGCGACATGGCCCATGCACCATCACTTGAAGAAAGAGCTGAGGGCTCTAACCAGAAACAAATCCACCTTCTAGCCACAAGCTACCAAACACAACTGCCACTAGAAAGTTTCTGGTAAAACTGTCTCCAAGCTCGAGCTACCACATGGCAGGCAACTGAAGTACTTGGCAGTCCAGAACGATGGTACATATAGACAGTGTCTTCAGTTTACATGAGGTGCTTTTAATAACCACAAAGAAATCAGTGTTCCTGTATTCGAAAGTAGGTTTTCCCTATTGCTCTTAATGGCAAAAAAAGGATTTTTCAGGTCTGTTGCTCTGAGGATACCATCCAGGCCACTATATCAAGGTCATTCACTACCTAAGCACCTAAAAGCATTCTATTAATATTTTAAAGTGACAGACGTATTATCCATGTCTTAAACGCTTATAATGTTCACTGATGTACAAATCCTCTTTTTGAGTGGCATTACCTTTTAAGTGAAACATTCTAAAAATATGCAAAACCGTATCTAAAAAACAAATGCCTGGGAGCCAGATGATACAGTCTTTTTTGTACTACACTCCTATAAAAAGCATTCATGCTATACATATGCAGCTAGGGCTGAAGATCTAGCTTTAAAAGATATTTGAAACATTCTGTGCTTTGTATAGTGTATGTTTCTTTCGCTTCATAGTACAAGGGTTGTTCTCTATAGGAACAAACAACTGATGTTGCTAAAAATCTCAGTTATAAATTACTAAGGAAAATCATAAACGAAGCAAAACTCTAAGCTAATTGAGATAGCATCATTACTAGCTAAATGGGATTTTTAAAATCAATGTTATGTTGCTTAAAAAATACTGATATTTAGTCATTTAAAGACAGCAACTGAGTACACTATCAATAATAAGCTCTAGTTAACAAACAGGAATAAGACCTAAGTATTTCAAAAGGAACATCTTCCCTCACTAAAGCTGAAATGCAGACACTCTACATCTGCTTAGAAAGCAAAGAACCCTCCACAACTATCTAAGCACTGCTGCTGGTCTTCTACCTTGTGCCAAAGTTTTGATGCAAGTTGATCCTTACTACTACTGGTCTTCTTCAACCACTCTAAATTGAGCCCCTCTATGTGAAGATCCTAAAACTGTGTCTTAGATTCCCACCTCTGTAAATCCCAATGCTCTTCTCCTCAGCCTTACTCTCTCTTGCAGTTTGAGACTTAGTAGAGTCCCGACGAAGGCTGCGTGATCTGCAGCTGCAGGTGCTCCCCTAGAGAGCATTGTGATTCCCACCCACCAGTTTGAGGTCATTTTAAATGAAGCTCGAGCATCCAGGACATCTGCAGCTGACACTGTACTGCACACAATCAAGCCGGTCAGGTCAGGGTTTAATGCAACTAATCCAATTTCTATTATATTTTTTTTTCAGATGCCCAACGTCACTGCAAACATGCAAGAACACCAATGGATAAGAACCAAATATTGAGGGGTTGTTTCTGAGAAGAAACAGATGGATTTTATCATCACAACCTCTAAAGGTTTGTGGTGGTCCCATGACCCTTAATTTCACATTAGCTGAACTCTCCAGAGACTTGTGTAATTAAGCTAAGAAACAAAATCTTACTGAAGCAATTTATTATGTGCAAATTACATCCAACTTCAGGGACACTAGCCCTTAAGGCCAACATCTGACAGGCTTTTCAGATCCCTAAACTTGCCAGAATTTGTTATAATTAACAGCAGGAACAAGCAAGCCTGAACTTTCCTTCACAAGACAAAATACAAGTGCAAATCATGCATTATAATCAAATATACTGGGGACACCATTAGTGAATTAAGAACTGAGTGTGATGTGAGTTAAATGAACACTAACAACTTGTGTGGGAGCCAAGTGGACTGACTTTCATGTGGGAGATAATTTCCTAATAAAACTTTCTATCTGTCTAAATAACAGATGTGAAGTGCAGAATGTTTATAATGCTTCTGGCGACCAACCACAGGAGAAGGAAGGAATTGAAAATAATGAGGTGGATCGAGCATTTTTTATTCTTAAACTGTGACACTGTGGCCCCCTTTCTGCAGGGCAGGATTCACACCAACACAGGACTGAAGGATCCAGTGCAGAATTACAATGAATGACCAGGGAAAGCTATGGAATGCACAGAACTTTTAATTGCAAACAAATGGTTTGGGAGCACGCTTTGCTTGCTGGGGCCTCCATAAAATTCTACCAGTCCCAACTCCCCACCTTGAAAAGCCAATTAATTCTGTTCTGAATTACCAAAATTACCAGGGAAAATGAGGGAGGGAGAGAAGGTCCAAAGGACAGACATACCTGTAACTGAGAAGGGATATACAAGTGGCCTCAGACCACCTCCCCCTTAATGCTACCACAGAATCACAGAATTGCTGAGGCTGGAAAAGACCTCTGAGATCATCAAGTCCAGTCTAGATCACCAAGTCCAGCCCAAAGTTCATTCCACCACTCCAAAGTATTTGCCTTGCCCCCTAAGAAAGTTATGATGGTGACACTACACTTAAAACAGATACTCCAGTTTTCAATTAATAATGAAGCCTATTTTTACATGCACTTTAAATCTTACAGCAGTAAAGTAGCTCACATTCCAAGCTCCTACATCAGCTCTTTTACTGCAATGTAATTATTGCCAAAGTCCTTCAAAATTAAGAAAGGACAAACCAACGCCTGGCATAGTCGTGTCCACTTTAAGAGCCTCCAATTATCTTCTGTTTTAACAGATTGGAGTAATCTTTGAAATAAAACGAAAGCACTATCAGAGGAAACTGAAACCTGGACAATGTGTATTTATTCTAAGTAACCAGTATTTCAAACATGTAAGAATACGTCTCTCCAGTAACAGAACATTGTGTGTTGTGTTGTGTATGGTCTTACAGGTGAAACCATGATAGCAAACACCTTCATCCCTGTACTCTAGAGGCTTTCCTCACTTTTAAAATTTTCATTAGTCGGGCCTTACGTGTTCAGCTACGAAAGCAGTTTGCAAGCTATCTCCTTCTCAAGGAAAGAAATCTCATCTCTCCACTTCCATTTACTTCATGCACCAAATTAACAACCAACTGGCAAAATAAACGTTGTGGTGTTCGTCAGCTTCACGCTTTCCATCACCTCCAGTCGAGCTGACAGGAAACTATTTCACGTCTTGCTGAAACAAAATAAAGCAGTGGTACAGCAAAGCAGCACTAGACGGGAAAGCAAACATCCAGAGGAGAGACAAAGTTGTTTAGATGGGGTAACCTGGGGAGTAGTGGAGGGAGACCACTGGTCCTGCTGAGGCAGGGATACACGGAGCAGACGTCGTGCTGGCCAGAAGACAAGCCTGGGACCTGAGGAGCAGCGCTCTCAGGAATATTGCTGATAAAGCCTTGCACAGGGGATGAGATGCACACAGAGATCAGAGCCTCCACACGTGCATGAGCAGCACAGCATAGGGAGTGAGCACCTCAGGAGCTGGGGGACCTTTTGAGATGAGAAATGGCATGCACTGGAATCATTATCAAGCCAGGGCGCTGGCAATGAAAACTGAAAGAAGTCAGAGAGTATTTCAACTGGCAAGGTCAGGAAAAGTGACCCGTTCAGAAGGACATAACATATGGATGCAGTTAAAATTCAATGTGAGGGCAAAACACAGAAATG